CTTGGGGGATCATGGGACTTGGCAAGTAAGCTTAGAAGTAGCTCAGTTGGGGAGGGTTTAAGCAGTACACGTATAGTCCGTATAGTTACATTACGTATCCACTAGTTACGAAGTCCCGTGATCCTTTGAGTAGGCTTGCTTGATTCAGTAGGTTCACTGTGCTGAGTTAATAGAGTTACTAGGGCCAGTAGGGTTCAAAAAATCACTGGGCTTATTAGTATTAGGTGGGGTACAGGGGTTAGTAGTTCTAGTAGGGTTTAGAGGTCATTTTCTGGTGGTTCAGGATGCAAGGTTGAGGGTTTGGGGTTTCTTTTCTCTTTCAAGTTCAGGAACTTGGGCGTAGGGTTTAGGGTTTCCGGGCTCCAGATTTCGGGTGTGGCTATGCATGTATCAGGCCTTGGAGACGCACGGTTCCTATGGGTTTAGGCTTTAGGGCTTAGGGCTTAGGGTGGTTCATGAAAGTCCTTGCAAGGGGGTTTCACAGGGGCTTCTAAGGGCCGGATTGGGGGTTCATAAGGCCCTAGCCCCTGAACCCCCCAAACCCTAAACACAAAAAAAACCCCACCCCCAAGCCGCGCAACCCTAAACCCAGGCCTTTCGAGGGTTTGAGGTTCGGGTCTAGGGTTTCGGTATTCCCGATTTGGCTTTAGGGTTCAGGCTTCAAGGTGTTCTGAACTGGGTCTCGGTCGTCTCCACATGGGGTCGTTCTAAAGATCCGTCTAGAGCGGAATACATGTCCTGCAGATTGTCGAAACCAAGGCAAAGCTACATGATGGTGGTGCCAAATATTCTCGAACAATCGCCAAACGCGGCCCGCCTAGCCAGTCGACGGCAAACTCGAGCTTGCCATGGTGTGCCTCAACATCCTCACCTCGTCTGCCCGGAAGACTTACTTCAACGACGTCTTGACCTTTAGGATTGTGGGTTTGGGGCTTTGGGTTTAAGGGCCATCGTGGCCCACCTGAGTCGTTTTGGGTCCATCAACATCGCATCGCTGGTTCTGTTGCCTGTGCACATCTGACCTAGCTTTGTGTTGAGTAGACAGGGCATCTGATGCGTTGACAAAATGCGGGCTCTCTTCTGCTCCGAGTGTCAAGTGCCCTGGGCGATGGCTGTAGCGATGCCCTGCGAGGCAATGGAACATACTGGGCATAAAGGGAGTTTCCGGAAGGCCCCGTGCCTTGTGAACCTCGGCTGCCATCCACTGCAGGTCCTGCCAGCACTGGTACTCGACGTACTTGCCGCCTGTCAGAATGAAAGCGGTTTCTGGTACATAGCGGAACAAGCAAAACACCTTTGTCCAGCCTAGGGCAGTGCAGGCAGCAGCGGTTTCACAGTGGCAGTGGTGCTCGTTGCCAGTGCAGCCCTGGAGCCAAGGCTTCAACTTCAAGGACTTCTCAAGGCTTTCAAGGCATCGTCTTGCCTGTGCATGGCAGTCTGCCTCGGCAGGTGCCGGGTAGAGCCCCTCACACCAAGCCCACATCGTCTTGTTGTGGTCGAAGTCCTGGCGGCCCCGGGCCCCGGGGGCCCCCCTTCACCACGCGACCGGAACCGAAAGCTCTTGAAACTGTCCTGGCTGCGCAGGCAAGGCGTCATGGCCTGGACATCCTTGTCACAGACGCTCGCCGGGAAGGACTTGCAGCACTGTTGGGCCGGCCAGTTCACAAAGTCCTCAGGCAGCCAGGGCCAGGTGTCACCGTGACGGAAAGGAACCCTTTTCTCTGCACCGTCCTGAGCACGCATACCATGGACCTGCACAAAAACAGTAGCAACCAGGGCTGGGAGGCAAGACTGAAGCTGTACTAAAGGCACCCCTGCGAATCGTTCCTATCGATTCTAGTCCTTATGGTCCTATAGCTGTCTGCTTAGAAGCAACAGCAGTGGCAGTCGCAACAGTACAAGCAGGTGCAGCCGGAGCAGCAGCAGGAGTAGT